ATTTCCTTGCCCTGTACTCTTCTTCAGAAATTATTATTTTGACTTTATATTGTTAGTGTAATGCAATATAGTTCTTCATGGTAATTTCTAAGGAATGTTTTGACTCTCGGGAATGTTAAATAAATAAGAATGCCCTATAACCCATGGGGAAAAGGCCCTATTTCGACCATTTTTTAACTTATAAATGAATAAGAATGCTCTATAATCCATGGAAAGAAGCCCTATTTCGACCATTTTTTTAACTTAGAAATGAATAAGAATGCCCTATAATCCATGGAAAGGAACCCTAACTTGACCCTTTTTTAACTTATATTACAAAATTTTGTTTGAGAACGAATTCCTTCATTTCCACTTTCTCAAACCATCCGGTTTTTTTTACCTGTTCGTGGCGATTCACTTTTTCCGGAATTCAGATGATGAGGGAACCGGAAAACCGAAAAGGACCCCAAAACAAATTTCTCCTCATGACGTAAACGCGAGAGACTGTTGAGGCAATACTGCTCTTTCTCTCTCTCTCTCTCTCTGTCCTCTTCTTACTTCCTTCCGCACTTCAATTATTGGCTTATTTCCAAAATCAGCTCTACTCGCCGACAAGTGCTCGAAAAACCCCTTCTTGCGGACCCACTATTTTCTCATTTTGAGGAGAGTTAAGTTGAGCAGGTTACACAGTTCTCCGTAATAAACTTGTCTCCGCTGTTACTTCTTCGGCGACCCACCCCGTCATCCCGCCTCTTAGCTCTGTGGAGTGTGTATATATTTTTACTCTTCAGTTTAAGAAACACTCTCAACTAAAACATCTCCTCACTCTTTTCTTCATCTTGCTGTCCCTCCTCCCCCCCCAAAAAAAGTGTTTCAATGAGCAGACAGACACTTGGTGTAAATATACTTCTTTTCCTGTCCGCTCTTTTCTTGAACTTCTGCTTCTGTGCTAACAGCGCGAATAAACAGAAATAATTCCGTATTTTTATTTAGGCTTAGGCACAGTAAACTGAAAGAAGTTTCGTGTAATCTTGAAACATCGAGATGTAATTCTTTCAAGAATGATCTTTTTGAGCATCATTTAATCCAAAGCTTGCTCTGTGGATAGAACCGTAAAATAATTTTCTTTTGGATGCCATCGTATTTGTGGCTAATTTGTTTTGAGTTCAGGACTGATGTAATATGAAGCATTAAGCATTCTTTCGGAATCTATAGAAACACACTTTTTTGACAGAAAAACAAAAATATTGAATTTTCCTCAAAATTTTGGAGTGCTTTTAGAGAGCTTTTAAAAGCATAGGCTCACATTAGCCAGATCCTTACGTAGATCTGAATGACAGCATGGTTGCTTGCTTGCTTGCGTATTTTTTTTTTTTTTTTAGATTAAATACGACATCGGTCCATCAGCTGCTCATCGGTTAAGCGATGGAGTATTGAAAATTGTTTTTTGGTTGTCTTAATTTGTTCTAATACAAAATGGCTACTTTTACGGTTCTTGTGTTGTACAAATTCCAATTAGTAAAGTATTATTTATCTTTCAGTAAGCTGTTCTCAGCAGATTCCGTATCTTTATTTGCAACATCTGCAGAAATGGCAGAGAAAACCTTGCTGAAATTCTTTTACGTATGTTACTTTTCAGCGCAAAAATAAAAGGTTACAGCGTAAGGCTTTATAAAATTTAAAACTAAAAAAACTGAAAGAAAGTGGACCGAGTGTAGTGTAAAGTGTGTAGATTTATTTCAACACAATTTTCACTCTTTCTTTTTTTCTTCTCTCTCTCTCTGTTTTTTTGGGGGAGGGGTGCATAAAGAAGGAATTGGCATAAACATCATTACATTTCTACAGTCTTTTTTGTAGAATTTTTTTTGTTTTTGTTTTTGTTTTGTTTTGTTTTGTTTTGTTTTGTTAGATTAAGGTGAGTTATTTTAATATGGCAAAGCACACGAGGGCTGTCTGCCTAAGGACTAAGGAAAGAAATGGCTTCATAGAAGATTTTCTAAGAGGAACCTACTCGTATGCATGGGAAAAACCACGAAAATCAACCAATGCAGCCACTTCATTTGGCGTTTTCTTAGTATCTTAAGTTGAACTCCCACCATTCAGTATTCTTAACCGCTCGGCCACTCGTGGGGCCTTTTTGGAATAGGCACAGTTTTTATGGCTCAGTATTAATTTGTGGGATAAATTACAAATATTAAGCTATATAGGAAAACATAGTTCTTTTTCCATGAATACGCCTCCATTTACCGAAAGTTATAGGCGCTAAATTAATTTTGCATCTTATTAAAAATTTATATCGGTGGAATAATATAATAATTAAAAGCGAAACTACGTAAATTAAAGAGATAGCGAGAAATCCAGATAGCGGAGTTCTGTATTTCCTGCATAAGCTCGATTTCGTTTAAGTGACGTCAGCTTAGATAGGTACTTCAGCTGGAATAAATCATAACTTTTAATAGGAAAGTGAAATCTCTTTTCACCTCGTTTTAGTATTTAAGTACGTCTAGCGCGCAAAAATCGAAAATAAAAAAGTCGAAGAGAGTCATAATTACTTTCCACGAAATATCACGTGACCTCGGGGCGCAAAGCTGGCGCGTGAAAGCTGTAATTAATCATTATTGCGGTTGGGAAACAAGGAAGAAATACGCGTGTATTTAAAAAAAAAAAAAAAAAAAAAAATGGAATGAAGCGAGAGTCAGGATTAAAGAGGTTGACAAACAGGAACGATGTGACGTCACATGGTTCACGTGACATTCATTGCTTCCATGTCTCTTTTCAACCCCTTTTGTCATTGTTGCTATATTCGCTTTTCCACTGTGTATTTTGAGTTTTGCTACGCAAAGTGTTCTTTGCTGGTTATTTATTTGTATCTTTTTGCGTTAATTTTTCCCGTTTTGTGCACCGTCGCTGCAGCAGTCCTTGTTTTAGCGTTAGATGTTCGTTCGCATGGTGCGCGTCATTTGCAATGCAAATCTGTATTTTGTTAGGATGAATTAAGTTTTCCCGATATATGTTGTTGAAAAGGGGATCTGGGGGATGATTCAGCTGCTGAAGTTGTCGGAAGCGTGTAATGACAAATTTATTGACCTGTATGCATTTAACACCTCCGCTTTTGTACTTGAGAATTTAAGGAAAATTGCCTGTCTGTACTTATATCGCCAGCTGTATATATGGAACTCGGATTTTCTTTCAGTCCGAACTTCCATTTGTTCTTTATACCCTTCCATCTGTTTTTTAATTATTGAATAAAAATTAATAGAAATTTCAAAAGTTTCTGTATTTCTAGTTCTGTAATTGCATTCGCATTACATTTGTATATTTCCCAAGTTTCTTACTATATTCAGTATCGTAAAAGTTATATATAGAGAGTGAATCTGAACAAGAGAGGCACCGTGTGATAGAAGGTAGCTGTACGAGTAATATTCTTCATACAGTGTATGGTCGGAATGCAAAAGTGAACCGCTAGGTGGCATTGTAAATAAATGGTATAAAAACGTCAGTCCTGACACCCAGCGGCATTTTCTACCATGCATTACCGAGAGGATTGGTCGAAGTGGTCCCGTAGCGGGCCACTAAGATCACCGGATCTCTCATGTTTGGCCTTTTTCCTGTGGGGACATATGAAAAGCCTAATCTTCTTGTCCTCCATTGAAACCAATATGGAATATAGTCGCCGTAGTTGCGGCTATATTCGAGCAATGCCTGATGTCTTCGCAATTTTGCGACAATCCCCCTTATCCCGCAGGTGTGCAGCTGTTGGCGGCTGCTGCTGCATTACAGCTGGCGGGAGGTCTTTTGGGGAATTTCTTTGAGCGTGTTCTGTTAATAAAATGTTTTCTGAAGTATCTCCTCGCATTCTTGTGTTAATTCTTTAAATGTGACAATCGAAAACTACCCTTTAACTTCTCACCGCTCGCGTTCCGACCATACATTCTGAGACGAATGTAACTGCCTTCTATCACCTCTTAAAGTTGCCCTCTTGTTCAGATCCCTTGAGATGTGTTTTGTGTGTGGGTCGTATAATACATAGTATATATATATAAGAATGATAATGAAAATAGAAAATAATATTTCTTTTGATAGAGATGTCGTTAGTGAAAGTGCTTTTATTCTAGTTTAAGTATTTTCATAAATAACAAATAAAATATGACCTAAGCAGCTGTGGAGCAGCATGAGATTCTGGGTCATAGTGTAGGTAACGTATCTGTAATATTTAAGAATGTTAAATTTTCGTTTAAAAAGATTAATGCAAGTACAATGCAGCGAAAAATCATACAAAGTCTATCGAAGTTTTTCATCCTTACTTCAGATAAAGAAAACTACGTGAATTGCTGTTAAGGTTGAATTTTGCTAAAAGTTCTCTTTATGTTGTATTTACGTTATTTACATATGTATATATATTTAATATATTTTGAGCCTTGCTGCATTTTAAGACCAGTAGCATGGGTACAGTATATCCACATAAAAACAGAGGCTAATTAGAAATTTAAAATATCAACAAGCCATCCATCAAATGAAAACTTGATATTGATTCATGATGACGCGTGAATTACAAATAAGAAGTTTAAAAAAAAAAGCGTTGCCGTGAAGACTGCTTTATATATGTAATTTGTTGTGCAATATATCTTTTCTAGCTTATTCAGTATGACTACTAGACTAGATTTTTGTCACTGCCTTGTACATGCTTGGTATATTGCATTTGTTTTTAAAGTATATTTTGTATCTTTTAAGCACTATGATTTTGGAATTTGTAGTTAATAAATATAGTCTTAAGTTCTCTGGACTGAATTGTTAAAGATAAAACTGGAGTTTTTTAAAGTAAATACACTAAAATAAATACAAGTGGTAATTGTAAGCACACCTCATTTCGTAAGCCTTTAGCTGTTATCTTCAGCCGTTTAAGTCCATTGCTGGAATAATGTTCCTTTTAATGACGTATTTGGAATTAAAGTGGTGCTTTTCATGTATTAGATTCGAATAAAATTGGTGTTAATTAAATAAATAAATGCTTTTTCTTGCAGCAACAGATGCACGCTCAGCAACCTCCGCCTCACGCACACGCGCCTCCACTGCCTATGATGCCGCATGCGGCAGCTATGGCGGGTCTCCAACCTCCAACGTTACCCCCAAGCAGCGCAGCAGGTCTGTTGGCATTATCGAGTTCCTTGGCGGGTGCTGGACCCGGTGCCCACCTATCTGCCGCCGTGTCTTCTGCGGGGGCCCTCAAAGACCACAGGGATGAGAAACGATCGAGTTCCGGTAAGTTGATCCATGCCGTGTTGTCTTCCCTGTGTGTGGTCGTTCCTTTATCCTGTTTGAATAATCATCTGTGCTTTTGCTTGCTATTCATCTTATAGCACCTACTAAATAGGCTTTATATCATTGTGAAATTTGTCACAGATGTCGGGGCTCCACCTACCAAATTGATGGCCATTGTTTTCTTTGAGTACGTGAATTGACTGCTGACGATGTCAGACCTTTCTTATATGAAGTACTTTATTGTAAATAATGCAAGAACTGGGCTTGTGAGGTGGTTTACCTTCGGACACTAGAATATTATTGAGGTACTTCAAATAATTGGAGTATTGTTGGAAAATCTGATCAGTTCTTTGCCATTGGCCATCATCACACATTTTCGTGGCAATTGATAGTCAGTGTGAATGAATTTTAGATATTTTTTAATTATGATTGCTGGAGGGTATTACAGTAGGATCTGGATTTAGCAAATTGCTTTGGATTGGCGATAAAATTTGTTCGATCGAAATTATTCCTTAAACTAAGAAGCACTAAATTAGGCATACAGGTATGTGAGGAAGCACAAGAATTAGATGTCTTCCTGTTTCCGCGGTTGTCAAAAACGTTCCTGTTTCCGCGAAACCATCAATCTTCATTACCCCTTTCCCAAAGGGGGTTACATACGGGGGGCTGGCTGGACATTGGCCTCTCGCGAAATGTAGGAAAGAAAACATTTTTAGATTAAAAAAATTAAAGGAAATAATCGAAAAATATTTACTATCTCAGATATTTGCGTGAGTGATGCTAATACTGTATCTTAAAGGATGTTCAAATTCTGCGATGATTTTTGGCAGTGAACTAAAAGATAGTTTCCTAAAGTGAAAAATAATATTCTTCCGAAAGTCTGCATAAAAGTGAGCTATAATAAAATCTTTCAGAATAAATATTCGTTTTAAAACGAAGTTCTTCCTTCTAAAACGACTTCTGCTTTGGTCTTAATTGCAGCTTTTAATTATTTCATTTATGCAAATCCAATAAACCACATTTTCCTTATTTCTATTCCGAATTCGAAATTGATAACCTTTATAAAGGTTTTTTTTTTTTTTTTTTTTTTTTTTTTTTTTTTTTTAAGTTTCAGTAATGTCTAAAACTTATATTGATTAACATAAGATATGAAAATAACAGCTAATATTGTAGCAGAATTATAAATAGAATGAAACTAAAGATTTTGAGAACAGCCTAAACTAAAGACACGTTTTTCCGATTTCGCGGAAACAGGAAGAATTTTGAAAAACGCGGAAAGAGGAATCGCGGAAACAGAATTAATTCCAAGAATTATACATAAGACTTAACAGAGTATAATGATATCTTTAAGACTTTACTTCTGACAATAAATGATTGAACTGGAGGAATGTGGTATAGAGGCTGCTATAAAAATTATCATTTTTAATTTTTTTTATATTCATTTTTAAGAATTTATTAAATATTTCATCATCTTTTCGTATTTCATTAAAAAATTCCCCCCTCCGAAAGAAAACCGCAAATGCGATTTAATTGTATTTTCTTCCTTAGAAGTGACCATAGAAAATTTCGTTATTAATCACATTGTACCCCGAAGCGCATTTTGTACAAAGTAACATCGATCGATGCATACGCAATTTGAAAAGGGTTAGAACTTTGAAACTTTTTCCACCTTCTAGCATTATCTAATTCAAAATTCACGGAGTTCTTAATATTTTTTTTTTTTTTTTTTTTTTTTAGTGAATTAAGAATTTGTTAAATCGAGGTTCAAAAGTAAGCCATTTGCTGAGCTGTATAATTTATTCGTTCTTAGTGTATCTTAAGCCGGATAGTCCTGAGCTAATTGACAATCATTAAATAATTAAAAGAAAGTTAGTAACTTTATAATCAAGAGGATTTTACCATAAAATGGTACGCAGTTTTAATGTTATGTCGTAAAGAACAATTTAATGGTAGCAGGTCAAAATTAAAGTTCTAAATCAAGCGATATTACGTTTTGTAAGGCTCGAAATTTCTTTGAAATGTTTAATGCCCTAATGTAATTCCGAATTTCATGAGCGTGATTGTGGAAATTTATGTTGAATAGAAAATTTGAAAAATTTAGTTTTTTTTTGCTTGCATTGTCATTTTAAATGTGTGAGTGAATTTATGTTCGCGTCTTGCTAGCTTAGTTGTAGTAAGTAGTTGGCTTTAACTAGAAGATAATACTTAATAGTCTGAGTCTCGGTTCCTTGGAACTTTTATGGAACCCAAAGCTTTTAACACCGCGAGATAGCTCCATTTATTGCTGTTTTGGACTTTTTTTGGAGTAAAGCAGTTTGAATATACCTCCTTGCTGTATCATGTTATATACCGTACAAGAGTTCTTATAAGAGAACCGATGCAAGTACGAATAAGGGTTTGCCGCTCGGATGGTATAGGGTTTGGGGGAGCGTACTGCGGTACCGAAAGGCTCCGTTTCGAATCCCGAAGAAGGCATGGATGTTTGTAAATGTATAGTGTCTTTGCGGCATGGTTACACTCTAAATATATGTCGAGTCGAAAGTCCTCTCGAGAGGTTATTGGTAGGAGAAGAGGGGTGGGAGACCCTCGGACCCGTCCCACTGGGGTGCTGTTCATCAAAATTGGGGGCGGAACTGAGCGAAGTCTTACTATTACCTGCACGGTGCTCATGGCTCTTGCCAATGACAGGGGCAGTCTTGCTCTCCTTGCCACAATGAATTTCGTGGGCTTATTGTGATGTTACTGTCAGACAAGTGAGATACGTCACAACACACGAATTAGGATAAAAGTAGTAATAAATTTATGAGGAGACTAATTTTGGAATAGGTATTTTGAATTACAATGTTATTGTCATATGACTGTAGCGCACTTCCTGAAAGAGTGATTTTTGGAATATCTCAATGCCAAGCTGTGTGTTTTTCTTGGCGAAGAATCTGAATCAGTTTATCAGGATAATAAATTAAGAATATTTGTCTTGAACTGGTATCCCCAGTCATTTGCTTTCGCACCTTCATGATGATCCCTCTATACCCATTGCGAAAATTCCACCCGTTTGCCTACGCTCACAAAAAGGCGACCGGGGAAACTGGGGGGTGGGCAGGGAGAATTTAATCTCGGTGCGAGGCTTATAATTTGCTGCCATTATGCTGCGGGGCGGATGAAGTCACGTGACTGTATTCCTCCGCAGGGACTAATTATCGAGCCCCGTAATGGCCCACTTACCCGAGATTAATGAGCGGAGCGCGCGGCGGCCGATTAATCCGATTTCAATCTCTCGTATTTTTGGTTCCACCTCGAGCTGCCTCCCCCTTCTATGGGGGGGCTGAGACCGCTTTATATATCTTATGAGTTAGTAAAGGGTGTTGAGATAGCTCTTGAATTAGGAAAAGGAAGTTAGAAGTTTGTAGGAGTTCGTGGAGGGGGACTGTACTTTTCAATTTCGCGAAGTTCTTCGTGGTTCGCTTTTTAACGAAATTATTCCAGCTTTGAAAGCTTAATATTTCAACCATAAAGTGAAGTGAATTAAAAAAATTTAGCCTTCTAGTAAGAGTTTTTATAAAAGAGATGTGTTTGTGTTTCGAACATTTTTGTTCATTTAATATTCCTCAAGTGTTTCTGCAGCTCTGTATATATCCAAAACTAACCTTACTGCTCAGGACTTTTAAATTTCTTCGCTCCCGACGTCGAGAGAATAAAGTACCCCCGTGTGCCTATGACCTTGGAGCACTGAACCGCACTATGTTTCCCGGCGCGTTTCCCAATTAAGGGATCACTTGCAAAAATAATTCCTATAAGCTTTTCGTTGAATTATATGGATTTTTGAATATGATATTTAAATATTGTTTCTTATAATATGAACAGAAAAATCTTAACATTTACAGTTAAAAAAATTACAGTATTAGTGATAATGATTTTTTCCCTTTAAATATAGATTTAGATTATTTCTGTACAGTACTGAAGTAAAAAAGTTAAGAATTTAAATTTCAGTGCTTATTATGTATTATTACTGTATTTACATGCAAAATTTTAAGCTGCTTGCATTGCATGATACATTCTAATATCTGATCACACATTTAATCATCCTGCATTTTATATTTGTGGAATAAAATATTAAATAATACTCATAGCAACAAGGATGGTACTCAACTGATTCCATTCAGTGAGGTTTCACACCAATTGGACAGAATTTATGCATATTTAAAATTTGAAATAAAACTTTCGATTTCAATGTATCTAATATGATATGGTGAGTCACCAGCGACACTTCTCATGTGTATTACATTTGAAGAGAATTACACAAAGAGAAACTGAGGTGTATCATGTATGATACACTGGGAGCAAAGAGGTTAAGAGCATTTATGTATTTATATGTTCTGTATTTTTGTTTCTGAAAGTTCCTCCCACTTGTGTGTTATGCAAAAAGTTTTTATTTATTATTATTCATTTATTGTATAATAATGCTTTTATTTTGAGCATTTTTTAACTAAATTTTCATGTTTGTCTCTAAGAAATGATGAATAAAAGCAAACTTTCTCCTCTGTTATTTTCTTTGTTATTGTTTTTGAATTTTACATGATTAACAACTAATTTCAATTATGAAATGATGAAGCTGATTTTTAAAATAACTCCATTTAATGAAAAATTATTTTAAAAAATGTCACGTGTAAACTAGAAAAATTAACTTAATAAATTAGCAAGTTAAAAATATTTTAGAACAGTTGTATTTTATATGCCACCCCCCCCCCAAAAAAAATTTTTTTTTTAGCTGTTTTTGAAGTGGCATCTCTCCTCCTTGTATATACACTTGCTGCAGTGCTTCTGCCATTCCTGGCAAATGACCCTTTTGACATCTGGCATTGGTTAGCCATCCTGTCATTTGGAATGGTTTGAAGAACTGGTCTTGATGAGAGAGTAGTGGTGTCAGGTAGTGAAAAATCTGCGGGGGGGGGGGGAGAAATTGATCATGACATCGCAGGGATCTGCTTCTGGTCAAAGAAACACAATCATTTGCTGAATGACCAAAAGATGATTTAACACAGTTTGCTGTACAGCAGAAATACACTTTTCAAGATGTTGTCACGTAACATATTTATTCTGCATTCATTTACAGTGAAATTCAGATATTTCAGGTTTTACCCACATAGCATATCTTCATGAATGTTTGAGCATGTGTAATAGTGAAAGAGTGTATTTAAAATTTAAATGTGGTCCTATACCAAGCATGAACATGCTATACATATTATCTGTAATTTCTTTTTTATAATAGTTAAATTTTCCCTTCAGTTAGATGGTAATGGATTGGAGGGGGAGGGGAATCAGTAAATTAAAAAAAAATATTTCATAATTGAAGTCAGCAGCTTAATTCAGTGCTTTTAGCTATCCTCTTATATTTTTTCTCTACGAGTATCATTTGTTTAAATTTCCTTTTCATTTTGTTGTGTGTGTAACCAATGATTTCTTTTTTGTGTATTTCAATAAAATATTTATTATGTGTGTGTTATTTTTAGCTAATTATGTATATCATTTTTAATTTTATAATAATTCATTTTAATTTGTTTTCATATAAAAAGAAGCTCTTACCTACTGCTATTTCGTAACTTTCCGAGGTTTGGCATTAAAAAGTATAAACATTATCCCACCTACCTGTGCCATTTTTTTAATTCATTCATTTCCCACTTAAAAAAAAGAGTAAAAATAAAAATAATGCCCCTTCCCCTCTCATTGCTCTTCTCCTTTTTCTGGAATTTCTCTCATTTCATGTTCTTTTCGAAAAAAATATGCCTCTTCGATTGTCATTGAGAGCGAAGGAGAAGAGACAATTTATTTCTTTCCTTTCCGTTTCTTCCCCATAACCCCCTTCTCGTATTTCAGGGGCGCGGGGTGGAGTGACAACCGATTCCCCCCATCCTCCTACATGGCCCCACTTCGAAACCACGAGTTTCGGACGGATAAAACGACAATCCCTGGAATCCAGTCCATTCCCGTTTCCCCCAACAATAGGGAACTTGCGAGCATCGGAGGGAAGAAAGTGGACTTCTCAGTTTTACCTTTCTCTTTGTATTGGCTTGAATTCTTTAAAAATTATTTTCGCTAGTTTTGACAATTTTATATTGTGTTTAGAGTTAACAATGGCGTGAGAGCGTGATTGGACAAATATAGGAGACTAAAATTAAAATTTGTAAACAACGTAAAGCATCGAGTATAATTAGAGACAATAGTTTTTAAGTTACATTGATAGGGTGATTGAGACGTTTTCTTTGGTAAGGTAAAAAACTGTAGGGTGTGCAAAATTTAAATTTGGCAGATTAAAGGTTAATGTGAAATTAAAAGAAAAACTTAATTTTGACTCGGTTTTGTGGTTTGTTTCAAAAGTTCAAAATCCGTCTCCGAGGCCCGTGTCATTATTATTATTATCACAAATTGATAATTGTGATTGCTATTATGAAAGATAACATAACACAGCCATAAATATTAAACATGTATTAAAATTAGTGTATGAAATATATGAATTTTTTATGTTGATATTTCGCAAATGTTGCTGAATTGGGAAAAAATATGTAAGCGGTTTTTCAAAATATAAACAATGCAAGATTATTTTTTAAATTAAAAAATAAATAATTCATTTACTATAATTATAAAAATGAACTTTTTAAATAAAAATTGTGTTAAAAAATTGGAGGAAGAAAAATTTTACTTCTGGATGTTTAGAATTTTGAAGTTAGATTTATATGAATTTATATTTAACTGTGTTGGACATTTAGTGCCAAATTAATTAAATAAACAGTGCAAAATTCTTCCACGTAAACTGCATAAGTACAATTGTAAAGTTGCAGAATACATAATAAATGCAAAAAATAATTTTATATTGCTTTGATTGCTAGAATGTCAATACTAAGATAAGTATTTGTTTTTTTAATACTGAGGGGGGATATTTTTTAGTTTTCCATTTTATTCCTGTGTAGCTGTATTTTGAGGTATATCAAAATGGTTTTACAATTATCAGGAGAAAAATATGAAGTATTCAAAACGCCTTTTATAATTGTAGTCACTTAGCATAATAATTAATTGTATATTAGATGTTTATAATTCATATAATTAGTAATATGTGACTGCAGTGAGAATAACTGAAAAATTAAGCTTTGTTTTGAATTTTATAGGAGGATAGTTGATGATTTTAAATTGAACTATTTCGAATTTATAATATTATGCTTATATTATAAATACGAAATTTTAATATAAGCATAACTTCCTACGGGAAAAAAAAAAAAAAAAAAAAAAAAAAAAAGTAGAATCCGCTCTATGGTAGGGATTTTCGTTTGGTTCATGGGGAATAGGATCCCATTCACTAGACATCCTCTTCCCGAAAAAAATAAAAAAAAAAAAGAAGGGGTCGGAAAAAAGAAACATTCTTTTCCGCCTCCCAACTCCCTTTTCCATCTTATTCCCGAAGTTCCCGAGATTGCAGTGGGTAAGACGAACATCCGCTTTTCAGATAACCACTAACTTTCTCTCCTCTTTTTTTTTTTTTTTTTTAACCTCTTCGTTCCTCTGCCTCCTCCCCTGTACGCGTGGATTATTTTTTCTCTGTGTGTGCATTGTTGCGGTCGTCATGGCAACGGCGAATCGATCGTCTCTGCAGCTCATAGCTCCGAAGACAGACACGTAAGTAGCCTCTTACACTTTTCATCCTTCTTGCCCCACCCCCTAAGTGGATTATTTTTTTTCTCCCCCCTTCAACCTTACCTCTCCTAGGGTTGGATGTATGGATGTGTCTTTGCGCCCAATATGCCTCTCTCGCGCCCTTTTTTTTTTTATCCCTCCCTATCTGCTAGGAGATCCATTGGAATTTTTTTTTCTCTCTGTAAATTTTACTCTTTTTCTTTAGGTTTTCCACTCCCCCCTTTTTTTCTGTATCTCTTTTTCTTTCTTTTTTTCCCCCCTCCCTTCGTTTTAACTCTAGGGAGAGATTCATAAAATGATTCTTCTTGTTTAGAGGCGTAAGTTTTTAGGGATGCTGACCGTTTTCGATGTATTTGATGAATTTTTTTTTCATGCTGCATTTAATTTATAATTTCTCTTAATAGTATCAATATTTATGTATCTCCGTTATAAGTGAAACATCAGAATTTCTATAGTTGCATTTTTTTTTCTTTCCCATTCTTTGAGGAATGTGTATCATACTGAAATTCATACACGAAGTTCATTAAAATGATGGTATTGTTTCTCCAAGAGGCAAAAACTTTCAGATTGGTTCAGCTGGAAGGAGTGGTGTATCTTTATGAAAAAGGCATTGAAGAATCTGTTGCTTTATAGAAATGTAAATGAATAAAAAGTACACCATTTATAAGAAAGTATTACAAAGAATTTTATTAAAAGTTGATTTCAGAGTATAGTAAAAAAATTTTAAACTTCGGAATTTAGGAAGTAACTTTAAAAAGTGTTGCAAAATTTGTAGGAATTGCAAAATATAAATTTAAAAAAATTAATTTTTTGAATTCATCATTTAAAAAGAAAATGTTGTTAGATAAGAGATTTTAATGATATATGTGAAATATTTATAACGGCAATCTAATAAAAATATTAACTAATTTTTATTAGAATCGTGCTATAAAAAGAAGGGGATACATACTGGATAATTATTTTCATAACTTCTGATATACGAGTATGTAGATTATAATTGGTGTTGTAAGTAATTTGTTAATATATGGTAATTCATTACTGCAAAATTCTACAACTACTATAAATGTCTCATTTAAAGTATATTGAATTTAGAAAGGAAAATGTGTGCCTCAGAGATTTTTTTCCCTCCATTATTATGTACTTTCCTACACGTCATAAGGTAGAAAGTCCATCATTAAATTCTGTCTGCCAATCTTCTAAGAAAATAAATAAATTTTAAGATGATTTATAATAGGTATAATTTATAATTAATTGAAAACCTTGACTCTTGCTTGTTAATGATAGATAGGTTTAAAAAAAGTTTCTTCATATGATGATTTGTCAAAAGTTTTCAGTTTACATTAGCAGAATACTGGTATTTTTAATCTTGCGTGTCTTTAAATGTACATATCAAAGTTAAATGAGCTGAGACATAGCATGATTTAAATAACTTTAATTCTTAAAATTCTATTTATGAACTTTTATTTATTTAAAAGTTTGTGCCTTAAAATTCAAGCAAACTTCAGCTTTCAATTTTATTAAAATGCATATTTTATTTTTCTAAATTTAATACCTGTTTAATGTTGAATTTTACCTGTTTCTTAAAAATCTGCATGCTTCTCTTACATTTTGCATTTAAATATGTAAAAGGATTTTAGAAGAATTTTTGTTTAATATAAAGAAGTTGCAGTATATATATGTGTGTCTGTATGGATTATTTTTTATGTCAATGAGATTGCAGTTTTTTAATATGATATGAATGGTTCTGGCCTGTTTATGTAGCTATGGTTAAATTACTGAAGAGTTTGCTGAATTTTTAGTGATAATTGAAATAGCAAATTTGTATAAATTGGTAGAATTTTTAATAAACCTTGAATGCCAAATTTTTAAATTATTCCAGCTTAATGTTTTATAATAAATGATATGATTAAAATTTGATATCTCCAGAGCAATGGTTATAACAGCTGTAATTACAGAAATAATTATTTTTATTCTGAATACAGTATATCATTAACTGAACATGGAATCAGTGTTATCTAGAAATGAGAACCAGGTGAAATTCTTAATCCTCGTTATTCTCACCTTAATTTCTGAATAACAAGAAAAGTTGTAGAGACATTAGGTATTTTTGGAAGCAGGCAAGATGAAAAATGAGCAATGCCTTCGCCGGGAATCGAACCACGGACCTCTGGAATACGCATGCAGTGTGCAGACCACCACACCACGAAGGCATGCCAAGAAGGCGAAAGAAATACCTTATAAAGTATTCACTGAACCTTTTAATATAGTACCACTAGAATGAGATTTGAGTTATTACTTTATATGTATGTATTATAAATATATTATTATGTATTTGATATAGTATATAATAATATATTTATAATACATGCTTACATTCACCATATAAATATATTATTCTTTTATATGGTGATCATTAAATTGGGAGGCTGCATTGTAATGCAGCACTAATCTGGAATGGATTTTGGGAAGATTTTAATCATTGCAAAGCTTATGTAAGTAAATGCATATAATAGTGCATTAGATAGAGGCGCCAGGGGGGAAATTTGATAGGCATTTAATCAACAAGAAATTACGATTATCTGCTGCTGCAGTATTGTATGGTCCTCCAAATGTAAGGTATACAATCGTAAAACGGCTTATCTGCAAAATTATAGTTTCCAGAGAAATGTGTTTAAAAATTTATCACTTTTCTGAGGGGGTAGGTTATAACTTTTAAATAATTTTTTTTATGTATATACTTTTTTCCTAGTGTTAAACGGTGGTCTCCAAAGTGGGGTATGCAGGCTTGGGATATGTCAAAGAAGTAAGCTTACGATCATTTGCGAATAGCAAGTTTATGGCGGTATATTATATTTCATATAATTTTTTTTCATCTTATAAAAGATCAAAAACATTTGGAATGCAGATTGGTGGTTAATCTCAGGCTGTTTGCATTATATTTGGTGTTGTAGGATTCCCCACCGTGTAATTCTAACTTACTGTTGGAAGTGAAGTATCTTAAGACCTGAGAAGCGAATAATCGCTTGAGTTCGTGTGACAGGAGACGACAGGATAGAAGGGTAAAATAACACTTTATTATTCCAATTAAAGTTTAACAAAACTCCGTCTTGTAGTTGTACAATGAAGCCGACACTTGGCTTGAACTTAAGAGACTAAGAATTAAACTAAACTAATCTTAACTAAAGAAATATAGCCGAAGCTATCAAAATTCTAACAGAGTAGGCTGCTAAACGCTAATTGACTGCGAAGCTATCAAGGGCCTAAAGTACGGCCCAGCATAATATACTTACGAGAGCTAAAAGGCTGACGAGCACCCAGAATATATGGTATCTCTCTCATAAGACTGTAGAAGCGGTATATACCGCTTCCTCATTAGCATTAGACGTGCAATCAAAACTATGTTTGGCCGAAGTGGGAAGTTGAAATTAAGATCGATAGGAAAGGATTTGACTCAAAATTTAGCTATTAATAAAATTACATAATCTTACAGTAAAACATAAAACTTTGATTCTTGTTAATCTGCTAATTCAGTGTTGTAGCTAATTATGACAGCATATAAAACTAAGCTGTTGGGGGGGGTGTTCTGTATAAAAAAAATGTACCATAATAACATTTTTAGAAAATTCACGAGACGTGCATGTCTGGCGGAAATTAAGAATCGATAGTTTACCATTTTAGATCCTTACCATAAAATTCTTGTTAATCTATTCAGAACTGCATTAAGGTTCCGGTAAGGAAATGGTGGTGGTTGAAATAGTGTAGATATTAAAGGAAGTGTGATCAGAAATTATAATAAAGACATAAACTACACAGGTTAACCATATACAAAAATGAATTGTTAATCGGTGATCATTGTATTGGGATGTGCATTGTATAAAACTAATGATGTTTGGGGGGGGGGTTGTTGCTGTACATAAAAAGAAATGGTAACCATAATAAACGAGAATGTTGTGTTTTCATTTTAGTAATTTTCCCTTTCGAGAGCACGGCATCAAAACGTGGGCAAACTCAGGAGTGTTGGAAATCTTTGGTAAAGGAAGTTTTGATGATTTAAGCATATTAATTGTGGCAAGAAAGTGAAAATAGTAAAGAACGTGGCTAATTCATGTGTTGTAGCTAATTATGACAGCATATAAAACTAATGCTGTTGGGGGGGGTTGTTGCTGTATAAAAAAAATGTAACCATAATAACATTTTTAGAAAATTTCATATTTAGTAATTTTTTCTAAGGGGGAAAATTACCGAAATAATATTTTTATTATATTTATAGCTTGGTGCTGATTTAATCATGTTCTGGAACAATAAATGTATTTCTTGAAAGCGGCAGTTTACTTACTTATATGTAAAGGATATTTTTTGCTTCTTTGTTCAGTATCGGCATGAATCTTCTTGAAATCATGACGTGGCGAGAAGTACCAAAGTATCGACTTTGGAGTGTCGCTGTCTTCTGTTCTGATGATACTGTGACGCCCCCTCCACCACTCGATCATTCCTTTGTGAAGTGCGAAGAAAATCTCTTGCCTTTCACCACGAATAAAGTATCGGGGGCATTGATTGCGAAGAGCATACTCTTCGTCTGTCCCACCCACTTTCCACTTCACCGCGCCTTATGCCAGGAGGGATAGACATCCAAAGGAATGAAGAACATTTCCGATGCCAACTGAGTTAAAGATTTTTCGTTTGACCTGTAAATTATGAGGAAAAGTTGTGAGTACTTTTTCGCATGCTTGTTGCGGATAAGACAGTGTTGCATGAGATGATAAAAACAAGCTCTGCGGGTTCTTTTTAGATTACCATTTCTAGGTCCTATCGGAGGTGGAACAAAATACATTGGTATCCAAAATTATCTTTAGATACCTAAAACTAATACTATTTCTTATTGAATAATCAATTTGATTTAATTTATATTGAAAGCAACAAAAGCAAACCTGCTTTTCATATTGTAATCCAATTTAAATTAATCTTTTTTAATCAATTATGGC